TTTCCCTTACGAGGAGTACGTCCCTGACCAAGAAGAGATCGACCAGCTTTCCGACTGTTCTCCCTTGGCAGTGGAAACTCTGTGGGAGTTGCTCTCCCATTATCACATCTGCCTCAGCACCTTAGGGGCTAGGGATCACAAGGGGAAGAAAAAGAGGACTCCGGGGATCAGTCATAAGAATTGGGCTGACTATCTGTTCCCGAGGAACGACGTCAAAGGGAAGCCTGCTATTCCTCTAGGCGGGTGCGACCAGGCCGAAGTGGAGAGGAGGATGGCTGAAGGGGAAGCTACTATAGCTCTCGATCATGACGAGGGCGGGTTCAAATCTGGAACAACCTTCCATTCATTTCATCATCAGGCTATGTCCCCTATCTCTGGGAAGGCTCTGTTCGCGGGGTACCTCATGCTGTGGCTGAAGAGGTGCATGGTCCCCACTCATTCCTTCGAGGAGATCCCGGTGGAGGTGGTGTATCCCGCGGTTTGTTTAGCTCACGGGAAGTCCTATTCTTTGGTATCGGCTTGTTTAGCTCACGGGAAGTCCTATTCTTTGGTATCGGCGACGATAGCCTGTATCCATCGAGGACTCCGTACGTTGACAGCCCAGTTCTGCCGTGTGTCGACTGTTGATGAAGGGGAAGGGGGCGTTGTCAGGACTCCCAATCCCAGAGTGGGACTGCCGTACACCTACTTGATGGCGTGGTTTGTTTACCACTGTGAGTGCTTGATGAGCGTCCCTGCGACCCTTCAAGGAAACAGGTTCGTTCCATTCCTTGAGCATTTGGAGAGGTGCTCCTGGAAGTGCAAAGACATTCCCGATGCACGGAAGACGCTCTCCCATTTTGTGCACTACAATTTTTGTCGTTTCTTCCCTTACTTTAGCGGAGGAAGATACGGCGAGTCTCTCAGGGACGTGCCGACGGCGGATCGCTCCACAGCTCTCTCGCGTGGCGCTTTTCGATGGTTGGTGAATATTCGGCCGGGGTATCACATTCTATGCACAGGCTCTGTGTGTTACCTCGAGCCGTATATTCCTTGCAGGTTTGCTCACCAGTTCGGGTACGACCAATTGTACGTGGGCAACGCCAATCCCCGCCTACACTTCGAAGGGGGACTGGTGGATGGAGCTCGGGGATGGTTTTGGACCCACGCTGGTGGTACCCAGGCTCGTTTTGAGCTACCCGCGAAGGATCGCGACTTACACCATACGCTCCTATACTGCCGATGGTATCGGGGCGCCAGTGCTAATCCCGCTGGTTTCTGGTTCCAAAACGCATGTCTGCCGGAACGCGATCGTCCTGCTAGAGGGTCTCTCCGTTCTTCAAGGCGAAGAGGCCAGCAAACTGCTAGGGAGCTGTTCTTAGAGGACCCAGTGGAGGACCCCGAGAGCTTTGACGCTAGTTTAGATGAGCCCGAGGCACCCGTGGTTCGAGTTCCTTCTCCTGGTCCTTCGTTGGGTATCTCTGGTGGACCACGGGAGTCCGAGCGCCCAAGACAGGTCCAGAGTCCGACAATTGGACAGATGGGGGCGCCCCTTCTGTCTCCGAGTAGCTTGCTTCTCTCGAAGCGTCAGCGGGAGGCAGGACGACCAAGAAGGCCCGTGGTGATGAGACAGCAGAGACCATCCGAGCGGCGGAAGGTCGGGATAATGCTCCCCAGGTAAGCATTCCTGGAGCAGCGACGTCTGGATCTGGAGCTGCACTGCCTGCCTCTTCTGCTGCATTGGGGGCGGCTCTGGCGACTTCGGAGGACGCTCCTTCGCAGACTGGCGTGAGGCCACAGACGGGAGTCCCAGCGGCTTCTGCGTCCGCATCAGGAGGTAATCTTTGCAACAGTGTCTTTGATCGCAATGTTGATCTCATACCTTTTGACATTGGCATTGGATCTATGTAGGTGCGATTGAGAAGGTGATCTCCATTCCTTCTGACGAAGAAGAGGAGGCTGGAGATGAGGAGGGGCCCACCGGCTCAGGTAAGCGTGTGTTTTAGCATTACTCCTCCTCCCGTACTCGACCGTTAGTAGGGTCCCTTTCGAGGGGTCTCTGTTAACCCTTTTTCGTGTATTTGTAGCTGATCCTACCCGTGAAGTCGCTGGCAAAGAGGATCCTCACTCTTGGGTGAATCGCTCATCTGGGGAGATGGACGAATCTGAGGAGGATGACAACGTCTCGATTCATGAGGCGCTGTCAAGTGAGGAAGAGGATTTGACTCATGAGGATGTGCCTGGCCAAATGGGGGGATCTCCTGTTCCCGCGGAAGCGTCAGCTGGGGATCGTTCATCGGCGCGAGAGTCCCCGCTTCAACGGGAGGCTTCTACTCTGCAAGTGACCACTTCCCTGTCGACGGTGGCCGTTGATGCCGTGACTGCTGTTCCGAGGGCGTCATTGGTCACCCCGGCTTCGGTGGTGCCAATTACCACTCCTACGGTTATGGCTATAGGTACCTCGACCGTGATTTCATCCACGGCGGAGGAGGCCGCCCTCTCTCCCTTGGAACGCTGGCAGGTGGAGCGAGCTCTGGCCAATTTCGAAGATACTTTGGCCCACTGCACCCGGCTGGTCTTGGAGGAGAATTGCCCCTTCGAAGAATTTAAGGAAGTTCTAGAACACGATGCGTCCTTCTTGCGTAAGAGGCTCGGCGCTACCGCGGCGAGGCCCTACTTTCAGCGTTTGAACGAAATCGAGGGGGCTATTCGACAGCTGCTCACTCTTCGTGCGGAAAGCTCCGCTCTTGTTGATCTCGCCTCCCGCGAAGTTCGAGTAGCTATGGCAGATCGCGATCGCCGCCTGAATGAGAACATGACGCTAGAGTTAAAGCTGTCAGCGGAGTCGGAGCAGGTCAAAGCCGAGGATGCACAAGTGGCCCGCGAGGAAGAAACGGTCGATAGCCAGTTCTCCCGACTCTCCTTCGAAATAGAGAGGCTGAAACAGGTTGTAGCTGACGCACAGGCTTCCCTGGTTGTTCAAGAGAAGGCTCGTGATCAGGTGGCAAAAGAGTTGGAGGGCATTAGGTCTCGCCGGCGATTGACCACTGACTCTGTTGAGGAGAAGGATCGAGCTCTCAAGGATGTCAGGGAGACCATTCAAGACTTGATCTCGTGCACAGAGGAAGATCTTCGTCGAGAGGTCCTAAGGAGGCTTGAGCTTCGCCATGCTGAAGAAATCCGTGAGGCGGAACTTCGATTGAAAGCCTTGTAATTTTGCCTCTTTTCGTCCTGTCCGATTGCCAGTTGTACTAGGATCTCTTTCTATGAATGAAATTATCCTTTTGTTTTTGGTCTATTGTCACTTGCGTGTGTGCTCCATCTTGTAATCCTGCATTAGTCAGAATTTGGCCGTAGGAGAACCTCAACTGCAGAGGAACTCTTGTCAGCGAGTTTCTGCTGCAAGATTATCTCATCTGCAGGCGAATTTTGTCCGCAGGCGGATTTGCAGATGTCTTGACGGCGAATCTGGTCCTGACTGGGTTCCGCTTTCAGTGGGCCACGTGTCAATCCACGTGTGCGCCAGTTAAGGAGACGTGGGCTAGCCGTTTCGCATTAAATGCGAAGTAGTGGGCCTCTTCGTCCCTCGCGCCCGATTCGGGCCGTTGTTGCAGATCGTGGTC